CCACATTGAGATACCATCTCACGCCAGTTAGAATGGCAATCATTAAAAAATCTGAAAAAAAAAAAAAAAAAATCTGGAGACAACAGATGCTGGAGAGGATGTGGAGAAATAGGAACACTTTTACATTGTTGGTGGGAGTGTAAATTAGTTCAACCATTGTGGAAGACAGTGTGGCGATTCCTCAAGGACATAGAAATAGAAATTCCATTTGACCCAGCAATCCCATTACTGGGTATATATCCAAAGGATTACAAATCGTTCTACTATAAGAACACATGCACACGAATGTTCATTGCAGCACTGTTTACAATAGCAAAGACCTGGAACCAACCCAAATGCCCATCGATGATAGACTGGATAGGGAAAATGTGGCACATATACACTATGGAATATTATGCAGCCATCAAAAACGATGAGTTTGTGTCCTTTGTAGGGACATGGATGAACCTGGAAACCATCATTCTCAGCAAACTGACAGAAGAGCAGAAGATCAAACACCGCATGTTCTCACTCATAGGCGGGTGTTGAACAATGAGAACACGTGGACACAGGGAGGGGAGCACTACACACTGGGGTCAGTTGGGGGGAAATAGGGGAGGGACGGTGGGGGGTGGGAAGCTGGGGAGAGATAGCAAGGGGAGAAATGCCAGATGTAGGTGATGGGGAGGAAGGCAGCAAATCACACTGCCACGTGTGTTACTATGCAACAATTTTACATGTTCTTCACATGTACCCCAAAACCTAAAATGCAATAAAATAAATGGGGAAAAAAAAAAGAAGATAAAACAATCAAAACATTATCTCCCAAAACAATTATATCAGACAGAAATAGTTTCACAAATATATTTTTCAGCTATTAAGGAATAACTTTAATACTTTGTAAAAGTTCCAGAAGAGAGAGAGAGAGAAGGAAAGTTTCCGAATTATGAATCCAGTATAACCTGAGAACACAGATATTTTAGTTAACTGTAATGAAATCTCAGGAATAACCATTTTAAATGTTACGTAAAAGAGAGTAATAAATCAGCAGTACTATAAAGGAATAATTTATAACAACCAAGTGAAGTTTATCCAAGAATTGCAGTGATGGTTCACTACTAGGAAATATATTTAAAAAATTATTCATGTGACAAAGTCTTAAAGGGGAAAAAAATGATTAACTCATTTGTGTTCAAAAGGCATAAAAAAAAAACTGAACATGCACTTTGATTTTTTCAAGAAAATTTAAAAACAGTAATAGCTGAATACCTTCTAGCTATTTTCTAAAAAAAAAGATAGAAAATATGAATACTGAAAAGGAAGAGGAAGAACTATTATTTATTAAAGATTAGATTGTATATCTTAAATCTTAGAAAATCTCAGATAATTGATCAAATATACTGGCCACAGAAATAATATTAAAAGGATATTGAGACTTTTCCTAACCAGTTAGAAATGGAAGAAAAGCTTCAACTTGCAATAGCAATAAACAAGATACAACTCTGGCATTCCTGCCTTCACTCTGTCTAGTGTTCTCTGCAGAGCCCCAGCTTAGGCTCCAGCACCAGTGGCAGTGGTGAGGTCCACACACCTGAGGCTGTGGGGAAAAGGCAGGTCTGCAGCACACCTGGGGTTGTCCAGTGACCAGCTGCTAACAGCCACGTTTCATATGGTACACAAGTGGGGAGTGGAATGTGAGATCAGAAATGCCTAACAGTCACATGAAGAAAACAAACCTCAACAACTGTAAAATAAAAGTTTTTACTTAGAAAAACACAATTTTTTAAACAACAATTTTTCTCTCAAGAATCCTTAATTTCAGTGCAATCACAATACAAATAAAATACTGTATCTGAATACCACTAAAATACTAGTGGATTATTTTTTGTAACTTGACAAAATAACAAAAAGTAATGAGGGGACATTTGCCCTAATAGATATTCGAAGTGTAACTGGAGGCCAGATGCTCCTGTGATTCTCGTACTTTGGGAGGCCAAGGTGGGCAGACTACTTGAATCCAGGAGTTTGAGACCAGCCTGGGGAACGTGGTAAAACCCTCCCTCTACAAAAAATTACAAAAATTACCCAGGAGTGGTGGCATGTGCCTGTAGTCCCAGCTACCTGGGGAGACTGCAGTGGGGGGATCACTTGAACTAAGGACGTCGAGGCTGCAGTAAGCAGTGATCGAGCCACTACACTCCAGCCTGGGCAACAGAGTGAGACCCTGTCTCATATTTAAAATGTGTAACTGGAAAAGCAGAGAGTAATGGAACAGAATGCAGTGTCAAAATGTAATTTAATAAATGCTACTCATCCACATGACTAATGGTTTGGAAAATAAGCAGAGCTGAGTTCTTATTCCATAACAAAAAGTAAATTCCAGATGAGCTAAAGATTTAATCATATTCAATTATATCTCAATGAAGTTGTTACCCATAAACATTAAAAAAATACAAATGTTAGAAGAGAAATATGGGTAATTAAGAATAAACACTTCATGCAGCATGTGGAAAATTCTTTACATAAGGTGCAAAAGCAAGAAGCCACAGGGAAAGCTGTATGGAAGGTGTCTGCAACACTAATAAACTGGTCAGTCTCCTTAACAAGAACCTGTATGAACAGACCAATAGAAAAATGAGCAACAGATGAATGCAGAAGTTCACAGAAAAAGAAAGAAAGATGCCCCAAAAATATCTAAGAATGATACTCAAAGAACTACCAATCAGAACAACAATGGAAGACTCTATCCGATCAGCAAAAATTTTACCATTTAACAGCACCATGTTTTCATGTGGGCCTAGGAATCAGGCGTCATCATAAGTGACTGGTGGGAGGTTCACACTGCCACAGTATGTAAGGATTCACAAGGAAGCACCATGTTCATGTATGTTTTTAAAAGCATAGATGTGGCATTGAAATTTCTTGGTATGACGTCCATTTATCTTAGTGTTCCATATACAGTTGACAACAACTCAAAGAGGAGAGTGACAGGCAGGTGATGAAAGGCAGATGATCATGCTAGAAAATGCAGAGATGACTCATCCATTCTACCTTAACCACCAGTAAGATCAGAGCATGATTCTGCTATTATTTATCCCTCTTCTTTTCACCCCTGCCCCATTCTCATTTTCTAGTCAAATGATCTTAAAGACTACTACTACTACGTTTCCTTATCTACACAATGTAGATGAGCACTTTCTTTGAGTTATTTTTTGAAATTAAAAGAGAGAGCACTTGTGGTATGTGGCACACAGTAAACATCCAATAAATATTAGCTGCTAATTAGATGCTAAGTCACCATCATTGCAATCCATGACACAGGTTTTGAATTTTTATCTCATGTTTAAATAGTTCTGTATTTTTTCCTCTATATTTTTTTTTACTAAAACTTGCCTTGAACCTCTTTTTAAAAGGAGGCAAGATATTTAAAAATAAATGACAGTAGAAAATAATAAATTAAATAAATAAATACAAATAAATAAATGAGAGTAGAAAATGGACATCATTAAACCGAACAGTCCGGGGGACCTCACTTAGCAAAGGCATCGGCTCTACAAGGCCTATATGCCACATCTCATTATTGCTGTGAGGGTTGCTTCCTAAGAATCTGGATGCCCTTGAGCGAACCTCGGAGCAGTGGTGATTAGAGACCTCTCAATTAGGTAAATAAAAGCAGAGCATCTTGGTTTTTACCAAAGGGGAAACCGTATTTTCCACGGAAGTACTACTTGTCCTTCTGTATAGACACAGCCAACATGACACACAGATTGGGAACCGCCAAATTCACCTCTACCTGAGGGCATACATAACTGACTTTCTTTACTTTTCATCTCTCGCCCATGGCTTTCCACTTCCCTAGCCTCTTACTACACCCATCCACTGCAACAAAGGTAAGAAGGAAGAAAGGCAAAAGAACTTTTTCTCAGGACGTACGCTGTCAAGTACTATCTGGTCGAAACTTCTGAAAGTTATTTCTCCTGTGATCTTTCAACATTTTTAGTTTCTTCTCTCCCTTCCTCTACTCCCTTCCCCTGCCCCCTCCTACTTATGCTGCAGCTAGCTCTAGTAATGCCCCATTCACCCTCTGTTAGCATTTTCGTAAATTCTGGCCCTCCTATGCACACCCTGAGAGCTTGCTCTCATCTTTCTTTTCAGTTCTGAAATCCCCAGCAAAGTACCTAGCAGAAAACCTAATAGTCAGTGTTGAAAAACATCTTAAAATATAAAATATATTATCTATACTGCAGCATACTACAAAGAGCCCTGGGTTAGTAGTCAGAAAAACTGGCCTCCAGTCTCAGTAATGCTATCTGGTGGATCCATGGCTTCATATTAAGCACTTAAGTATCCATTTCCTCATCTGTAAGATGGGGCTTTTACTTTGCTCTACTATTGTATATGTTTTCACGAAATGAGATGAAGGAAGCAAAAAAAAAAAAAAAAAAAAGTATTGTTATGCTAGTTTAAAGCACTATGACTGCTTCTGTTGAATAGTATTTGCTTTTTAAATTTAAGTAGGAATAGTACAGTCATCTATTAGGAGATGCAGATTTAATTATTATGTTTACTTGCCTTTCCCTAAAATAAGAAAAAAAAACCAAAGCAGCTGAGCTGGTAAGGCATTGATCTATATTATGTCATCAAAAGTATAGTAAGCTAGTGCTAGACTTATGACCACGGTTTGGACCGCGGACCGGTTGTAACACGATTTGGTCGTAAGTTGAGTAGGCTATATGTACAGTTGAAATGGTGCACGCGGAGATGGTAGTGCTGCCGGAAGCTGGTCTGCACTGTTGTACGCCCAGCTGGGCAATGTCTGCGCTGCCAGACGCGGAGCAGTTGTGGCTAGCGATTGTGGTCGTAAAGTCGAATGGTCGTAAGTTGCATAGGTCGTAAGTCGATCAATACCTGATCGAATGCTTACGCTTTGGGCAAGAAACAGCCCATGTTAATTGTGCCATGTCTTCCAATTTTAATTACAGATATAAAGTGTAGATATAAAGTGTTGAGGTAATTCTTACCAGGTTCTGGAAGGTCTAACTTTGCCCGCTTTAGTTCTGCCATAGAAATCTGAAGTTGCTCTATAACAAAATCATCTTCAAAGAAAAAATCCTTTGCCAAGGTCTCCTGAAGAAATTCTACAAGTTCTTCCATGGACAATTTCATTAGATGTTCTAAGAAAGGATAAGAGAAATGAAAATGCCAGGTCAATAGCTACTTTAGGTGGAAAGATATTCTATTATAGTCAGGTGTAGTGTAAAAGGGCATTAAAAAGGGCACAAACAACATACAACTTACATATGGCATTGAGGACATCATTAAAACTCAGTAAGACAGAAATATTGTCACAGGGAAAAGCAGGAAAGTTTACTGGGGAAAGGAGGGGAGGAGACTACTGCCTAATACTTCCTCATTGGAATAACCACACGTAGGCATTAATTTTGCCCCAGAGCAAGAGCTTCTTAGAGACAGACACAGTAAGACCACCTCAGCGGGCATGAGGCCTTTCTCTTACAATGAAATGGAGCTCCAAATGCTATAGGGAAGCCCCATTTTAAGTCTATATTTATGACTGTTTCAGAATTTCCCAGAACATCTGGATTATTAACTTTGTGAGTTTTATTTCTACTTATGAAATTCATTTTCTTGGAAAAAGAAATTCAAATTAAATATGAACACAAAGCAGAAAGTAAAAATCTGCCAAGATCTCATTACATAATACCCTACAGGTAGATCCGTGTATTTACAAGTGTTTATGTGTATCAACTGAAAAATCCAAATTATACTTTTCAAGTTATTCACCTTTTTGCTTTTTTTCCCATTCAATAATGTATCACTGATATCTCTCATTTTAGCAAATATGCTTTTATATCATCATTAATAGCTGTATAAGAGTGTACTGTATGTATGCATTGGAATTTACTTAATCAGTCTTTTAGTAATGGCCATTTATGTGGTTTCTGATTTTTTTATTATTTAAAACCACTGTGTGACGCACATGCAGTCACAACGTATTTTCAAGACAATCAGTAAGAAAAAAAAGGAAGGAAAAAATATCTTATGAGCTTCAGCTAACTATTGGTTAATATGCCCAGAAAGTTCTTTTTAAATTGGCTAATGACAAATTCTATATATTTGTGGTATACAGTATTTTCTGATATACGTATATACATGGGATGACTAAATCAAGCTAGTACCTCATTATTACCTCACATACTTACCTTTTTGTCATGAGAATATTTAAGATCTCTCTCAGCAATTTTCAAGTATACTATACATTATTATAAATTATAGTCACCATGCTGTATGACAGCTCTCCAGAACTTATTCCTCCTGTCTAACTGAAATTTTAACCAGACTCTCTTCCCATCTCCCAGCCCTCTTTCCATTTTGGAAACTTTATATGGTGGGGCGGGAATTCATGTAAGTACTTGAGCTTTGTCACTCTAACCAAGAAAAGTACACAACAGCAGACAGATTTTTCCACAGCTCATTTAGTCTAATGATAAGGTGGTATGTAAAGTAGTTGCTTTGCTTAACATTTATTTACAAGGGTGAAGAAACTTTTTACTTGTCAAAACCGATTGAGCATCATATAAGTAGAACAACTTAAGAAAAAAATGAGAGTGACATTAGCATTAAGCTAATGTGTCTTAATAAAAACTGTGCTTCTGTTCTCTATTTTGATCCACTCACAATCCAGAAACAAAAGTGGGGGCCAAGGGAGGGGTAGGAGAAGGGGAGAAGGGGAAAGGGGGAGAGGGGGCGGGGAGAGGGAGGGAGGGAGAGATAGAGAGACATGCGTGTGGACGGCAGTTCGGGGTAGGTGAAGGGAGGAAGGGAAAGAGATTTCACATGATCAGATGACAGATGCTGAATCCTGGAAGACAATTCATTGTCATTTGTTTTGGTGCATTAGTTGGGGAAAGAAGAATTGAGTATAAGGGAAGTGAACCACAACAATTCTGAGTCATTTTCTTGAAAAAAGTAAACATAACAAAGGTGATTTTAAAGGGCATGTTCATTCCTGTCTAACCTATAGATAATCTGGCACTCCTGCAGTCCATGCTTTTCAAGTAAGCAACCAAACAATCTTATAGCAAAGTATGCAACACGTGCTTAGAACACCGCCAAGCACAGCAGAGAGAAAAACTACAAACATGACCCTGTGCACTCAATTAGCTTATAATTTATTTGGGAAATGGAACAGACCATTCAAGAATAAATAAGACAGTAGAGTGTACTATGAACATGAAACTATGTGGTATGACCTAGATTAGAAGTGTGGACTACATGAAGCTCTAAAGCTTTCAATTATTTTCTTTTCTGTATAGCTACAAGAGAAGTCACATAACTTTTAAGGCTGAATTGATACTTTACAGATGAATACGGTTCTTCATGAAAAAAAAAAAAAAAACCCTCTCATTTCTTTATTTTAAAGTAAGGTGTAACATATCAAATTTATAGAGCCCTTAAAATATTGCAGCTAAAGACTAGAAATTCTCCAGTGTCTGTTTTTTTGTTTTTTTAGCCTTGCTGCATTTATCTGCCTGTAGGCACTGGCTGAACTTGCCCCAGAGGCCATAATGCACTCCAGTAGAGAAGTGGATCTGAACGCTCCCACCCACGGTTCAGAGCTGGGTGCTGTTCTCCCTGGATGAAGGAATCAATACTAGAAAATGTTCTCTCCAGCCCTTTGAACTAAGGCGCCTCGTTCCTTTGGTGTTTCTTCTCTTACCGCAAACTTGAGATTCAGACTGATGTAAAGGACAAGGGTTCCCAGTGGAAACAAATACTTAACAAAAAGTATTATTACCGAAACCAAATAACTGCTTTCTATTTAAGTGTGAAAATGCCACTGATATAAGGAGAAAAGAACCAAAGACCTTTGCAGTGAAGTAAGCTTCTAGTCATGAGAAAGAAGTTATAAAAGTATATTATCGATTGATGATAATTTCTCCACTGATTAAAAAAAAATTTAAACCACTATTAAAGACAATGAATTTGGAGTAGGGTGGGGAATGAGAAATCAAGGTTAAATAAGCCTTAATTTTTATGAAATCTTTATAGATTAAGCATTTTCTTACTTTTGTGTAATTTTAAGATTGTGTAAGACATAGCAGTAAGAACTCGTTCTCCTTCAAAGATGTAGATATCCCATATTCTGAGGTTTAGTGTAAAGGGAGTCTATAATTAAAAGCAAAACAAAACAAAACAAAAATAAGGTTAACAGTTTCTCCTCATTTTGTATTTATAATTTCATGATTGAGTTTTGTAAATAAATACTTACACGATCAAGGAAACACTGAAAAAACCATTTCATTGTGTAAAAACTTGTGTAGATTTCTTGAGAATCCTGAAAAAACAAAGAGCTCACAATTTCTGGGTTGTAGCAAACTAATTTTAACAAAATAACACTAAGTTAGGAAGGCTGCTGGATGCAGCTATCAAAGCTAAACACATTTACTTCTCAAAATCACTCCAAGAATAAATTCCTCTTATGACAGGACTGCAACACAACACTTAGATTCTCTTTAATATATTTTATAGTGAGCTTTCTTTGTTTTACTAAACCACTGTGTTCTATAGTAAGGCATATATAGAGTTCACTAACAACAAGTTTCTATGACCCTGAAAAAACACTTTCTGTACAATGAAAAACCTCCCAAACAACAATATATCATATTGTTTGTATTATCAGCTTCAAAGAAGTTCGAATCCCTTGGTTAGAATTGTGATAGCCTATCAATATTAAATTTTACAAATCTAATGTTTTGTAAACAACTGGGAATTACAACTGCATAGTAAATGAAATGGAAGACACCATAAATTAATAAGGTAATTGGGACCAAAGACAATTTTTAATTATCCCAGCTTTTTTCTTGGGGTAGGTGGGTGTACGTCAGTGTCACATCTACCTACCAAGTGTTGCTTAAGCTTGGACAGAAATTTATTCAGTATTTTTTCATGATGTTCTTGAAACCTCAAGAGTTTAGGGAAACCTTGGACAAAAAAGCCTAGAATGCAAACATAAAAACAACACTTCATAAACAATACCAACAAAACCCTCCAATCTTAAAATGCAACATATTTCTTTCATTTGTAACTGTCAAAAATAAAAAGAAACATCCAGTAGTATTAAAATAGTTTTCTCCCAACCCAGGAAATAACTGTGTATAATCTTTGGGTAATAAAACTTTTAGCTAGGACTTGTGTGCTAAAGACCTCCCATAACTTTGTAATTTTGAATTTAAAGGGAAACAACAACAAAAGACACTGAAGCCATTTATCAAGATTATCTGTTCTTTTAAGACATTGGGCCATATCTTAAATGCATACATTTTTTAAAGGTTACTCTAACCCTGACTAGTTATCATTTTGTTTTATTCTTAATACATTAAATAATAATTTATTACTTTTTTCAGGCTTATTCTAAGAATTTCATTAGTATAATGTTTCCAAAGTTTTAAATCGCTTTTTAATCCTTTCCTATAAAGCTATATTTAACATCTGCTAAAGAATATAGGTGCTAGATGATCAATGTTAAATCAAAAATCGTATTTTATCCCAAGGGACTATATAATATAATCTACATCTACGAAGTAACAAATTACAAATGGTAGGTTAGTATTAATTTTGAGTATTTAGCTCATTGAACTTTACATCTATTTTTATTCAGGATATTCTATACAATTCATTAAAAAGAAAGTCCACTCAACATTTATGATTCTTCTACATTAGGATTTTTAAACCTGAGTTCTATGCAACTTTGAAAGATGTTAACAGATGTTCTATGCTTTTGAAAAAGAAACCAGATGACACATTTATGTCCTTCTTAGATATTCATTAGGTATTTTAGCTTATTAATGTTCTTGTCTTTTAGACTTAATGAAACTTGTTTTTCTTTCACTCAACTCTTCCACACTTATTTGATCCTGGAGTCCATTTTCCCCCACAGAACATCTGCTGCCCCAAAATGAAACTCTATTCCACCAAGAGCCTGAGGCACACCCTATTGGGCAGTGGTGCTTTACAATCTACTGGGCGGAATTATTTCTTAACTAGTTCTCAGTTTTCTAAGGTGTGTGTAAAAATTTCCAGAGATGGAGATTCTATTCCTCCTTTAGTAGTATTTTTCAGTGAAATGGTTTCATTTAAAAAAATCTATATCTATCAGTGCCACTTTTATGGTCAATTTGATAGGAATGGAAGTTGAAAAAATTTCAAGGAAAGTCTGATTTTGAAAAAGGCAATACAGTTCAGTAATAACTAGCTCAAGAATGTTAAGAAACCTAACAGTTCTTCAGTTTCCAGTGATGTTCCAAATCTCATATTTTATATTTCAGCCTTAGCTTTGATTCCATACATATATAAGTGAAACCACTTTCACACTGGAAATGCAAAGCACTGAGGCAACCTTTAGTTATAAAATCTCATAAGCAGACATAGAAACAAGCATCTCTAAGTTTAAACTTACCCTTTATAATGAGCCCAAATGCATTCTAAGTGTAAATGTTAGGATAGTAAATAAATATTGTTTTACAGATTAGTGACAAATTACTGAAGGTAAGCTATCAAATAGGTTTAAAAGAAATGACCATTTCCTAAAATTGGACAGTCTTGCACATAATTACATACCACTTAAATCTGCATTCTATTGTACCTCAAGACAGATCAGCAAAACCATCCCACAGGAAAGCAAAATACAGACTGACAGGGAAGGCGGATTTCTCCAGGGTGCCTTTTGGAATGACACTGCCTCCAGGACAACTCAATATAATAACATGTCTTATGTTTAGAGTCTATTTACCAGATACAGGTACCATGCAGATGATATTTATTAAGTAATTGACAAGGAACGCTAAAGGAGAAAGACAAATGTAAACACACATTCCCCACTCACTCTTCCACACATACATAGATATCCTCGCATAGTCAGACCACATAGTCAGAGTGTGAGATTTCACAAACAATGAGCTACAGAAAGTTACAATTTTGAAAATACTAAAACAGTACTTTAAATATACGGCAGGTTCCCCACCATACAAGGCTTATTCACAAACTGAACTTGAAAGATCCATTCTTAGAATAACTAGCATTAAATTATTTAACATTTAGCATAGTGTTAAAACTGTTTAAATTTGATAGCACTGGGAAAATAATTTTGCATTATATGAACAAATGCTACTTTTATTTCCAAGACAAGCTGTGATCTAAGGGTGGGGTCAGTGGCTCACACCTGTAATCCCAGTATTTTGGGAGGCTGAGGCAGGAGGATCACTTGAGCCCAGGGCACCGAGACCAGACTAGTCAACATAAGGAGACCTCATCTCTACAAAAAATTTTAAAAATTAGCCAGGCATAGTGGCATATGCCTGTGTGGTTCCAGATACTAGAGAGGCTGAGCTGGGAGGATGGCTTGATCCCAGGAGGTCAAAGCTGCCGTGAGTCATGATCACACCACTGCCCTCCAGCCTGGGTGACAGAGCAAGACCCTGTCTCAACAGTTGTGATCTAAACTCTCTAAAATAAAGTCTATTGCTTAATTTGACAAAAACAAGGAGAAAGTTATAAACAGTGTTAACCTGAAAACCAAAAAATCATGCAGGTTCTGAGATATTAAATAATCGAGTGCCTAGAACCTGTTACCAGCCTTTTATTTAAAGTGGAACCAATTTTATGCGAAAAAACTAAAAATTACACTTGAAATATAAAATACTTAATTATTACCTTTCCTTCAAACATCTAAGTGTCATTTCTCAATTACTGTTTTTTTTTTGACAAGGAGTTATACATCACAATATCCAGTCAATGGTAAACATTTCACTGAAATGATAATTTCATGACCATCTAAAAGTTTTGATCAAAAGGCATCTTTTATTTATCCCAATAATATGCCTGTTCTGAAATTCCTCCAAACCTAAATTAGTTTCTTTTGACCAAGGGCAAATAAGGAAAGGATTTTAAAATGCCAACAATATACCTTGGGGTAAAGACAAAGGCAAATAAATGTAAACACTTTAGAAAAGTTCGATAATGAGAAACGAAAAAAAGAATCTAGTAACAAATAATAATGAACTGAACGAGTCCTGAGACATTAAATTTGTCGTGCATAGCTCTTGGAAGCATCTTTGGTTTTGTTTCAATCTACCTTTTTCCCTAACTTGATTGTGTAGATAAAGCATAGGGTTTGCTTACCATGCATGGCATGTTTAGGGCCTGAGAAGAGTTTGACCAGGGCCCAGAAGGCATCTTCCTCGTTCATGTACATAAGGAGTAAAGCTGTGATCTGGCTCATCCCCTGACAGTACCCGACTTCCTGCGGAGCAAAGGGGAACACAGAAGCTGGGGAGTTTAGTAAAATCACATGCATACGTACAGAGAAAAAGCTACTCTATAAAAAACAGAAAATGCCTACACATATTTCATGATCCATTCTAGAGACAAATACTATACTCTTCACTCTTCACAGTGTTATACCACCTAAGAGAATAAAATTGTGCTCAAAAATAAATGTACAGGTACAGACAAACTCTAAATTGCTACTACCTATTTTTATTGGCCTCTGTTCAATACTGTCATACTTTCTTTAATAAGTGTTAGTATTTATTTCACTTTATGTATGATTCTTAGCTCACTATTCCTCCTCTTTGCTCAAATGCTGGCAAAGTCTCTCTTCCTACAATACCCAGTTTGCTGTTTTATCTCCTCTAGATTTCTGAACCCTTAATAAGCAGACACATTTTGGGATTCCCCATGCAAAGTCTATGCTTCCTCTCTGAGAAATACCCACTCTCCCCCTAGTCCCTGCTTATGATGTGGCCTCAGGGATTCATGTTTGTGACACAGGAACCACAGCTAATGGACCAAAAGAGGATGCCTGACCCCTGGGGAACAGGTAGTTGGTTGCACTGACTCATCAGACACTCTCTCCAGGAAATGTGAACAAAGCCACAGAGACTGTAATCAGATGTCGGGATGTACTTGGGACAGAATGGTCACACTGAGTCTGTAGCAATTTGAGCCATGGAATAACTGGCCAGGACGCAAAGGAAGCAATCTGGAGAGAGAAACTGGACTAAACAGTTCACAGAGATCATCCGAGATATGGAGCGGCCCCCAGAGTGGGAGAGATGGAAGGTATAGCTTTCCTTCTGGAACGCTTCCCACCTTCCAGCTCCAATTCCTGTGAGGCCCAAAAAGTGCTTCCTCCCTATGAGATGTCCTTTTAATAACCCTTTTTTAACTGTTCCTAGTTTGAGTGAATTTCTGTTCTTATAATTTAAAGGTTTTAACTACAATAGAAATTATACATCCCAAGGTTCAAAGGTGGTCCTCCCTGGGACCTAGTCAGCAAACATTCATTTAACACCCACATTAGGTCTAACACGAATCAATCTATCCAAGATTATCTTTTCCCCCAATAATGCTGAATGCCTTAAGAAGTACATGTCTGTTACCAAAGAGTTTGGCCTTCTCCTGGGGATAGCCAGTAAGGGCATAAGTTATCTTGTTTGGACCTCATCGAACAGATAAATGTGACTGTGAAAGGTAACCTCCCAGGAGCAAAGAGAGTTACACAAAGTCAAGAAAAATCAACCAAGCCACCCCCACTTCCTGTCTCTCTACCTTGCATATCTGCTTAAAAATAAAAACAAAACAACACGAAACATTACAAAGCAAAACAACATAGAGGGAGAGAGAAAAGGTGAGACTCTGGTACACTGTAGTCATATCTAGGTTTTTCCACTTCAGAATCAGCTCTGCTCTAAGGCCCTAGGGTTATCACAGGGTTTCAGCTTAAAAAGATCCACAGAGCTAAAGAGACTGTGGAGACCACCTAGCTCTGAGATGCAAAAATATGCCCAGAGGGCCCTGTTAGGTAGGGAGTGCCTCGGAATAAAACTCAAAGACCTTGGGCAGGTAGGCTCCAACTTACCGTATTATAAATAGAATATGCAGCAAGAACATGGAATAAGGATTGTTGCCTAGAGAAAAAAAATTACATTAAATACAATTTAGTAATTTCACATATTTTAAAAACTATAAACTTAAAAAAAAATAAACCAAAGGCTGACTGAGAACAGATAATACAGATAAAATTGCTAATGTAATAAATTATCCCAGGCTCAAATTCAAACAATACTCTAAAAAGTCTAAATTCAAGACTAGATAATATTCATCCTGAAAGAATTTATACCAAGAAAACACGAAAGACTTAAGAATTCCTTAAATTTGTTGCCCTTTTTGCTAATCTATCTGAGACCCTTGTGATAGAAGCAGCAGGCTTGACAGAATGGTGGATCCCTTTTGAAGGCTCAGTGACATTGCCAGTAAGGTACAAAACCTGCAGGGCTGGGGTAATGTTCTCGGGATGCTGAATATGTTCCAAATCAAGCTCTAATACAAGGTCCTGTTTTTCCCATAGACAGGATTCAGAGATCCAAGAGTCAAAGGCTGGAAGTAGGTGTGGCTCCACTCACCATTCTCTCTAGAGATCTACTAGCAGAGTGTTTGCTTCTTGCCACTGCAAGCTTGGGTTCTGCTGGTCTAGAGATCTTGGTTCCAAAAGGAAGAATGCTTCCACCATGAGACATAACCGTGATTTCCTTGACCTGGAAGCTGAAACTGCCACCCAACCACTTTGGGCTCCTGATACCTCTGAACCAACAAGCGAAGGAAGTGGCTGTGCTGGCTGGAGGGATTATCCTGATTATTAAGGGGAACATGGGTTGCTATGACACAACAGACACAAGAAGGAGTACCATCTGGAATGCAGGAGAACACTTGGGGCATCTCTTACTACTATTATTGAACCCTGCGATAAAAATCAATGGAAAACTTCCAATTCAGGCAGTTCTGCTAGGTCCAGATTTTTAGGGAGGAAGGTTTGAGTCACCCCTCTAGGTAAAGAACCACAGCCATCTGAGGTACTTGCTGAGGGCAAACAGAATATGGAATGGGAAGTGAAAGGGGGCATTATAAATACTACCTGTGACCACATCATCACAGAAATGATCACTGCAATTGTTATGAGTATTTCTTCCTTATTTTGGTGTAAGTATGCTTGTATATATCCCAACAAATATTTTCTTCTTCCCTCTCTTTCCCCTTATCATCAAACATAAGATGTCTTAAAAATAGTCAACTGTGTACCACAGTGTGTAAGTTACAGGATATTAAAGCCAAAGTGTGATCATCTCCCAAGGACTTGGCATCATCATTTTAGTTGTGAGCAGAACAGTTGTATCATGTTATGTGGAAGGATGACTTGGTTACTATCTTATTTGGAAATTAAGAATGGCTTAAGGTGGTGTGTGTGAGTGCCAAGTTGCCAAGGCTGGACTGTAGTGGTTGGCTTCGGGTGTCAACTAAACAACAATCCCCAGATATCCAAAAACACGGATCTAGGTGTCACTGGAAAGGTATTTTGAAGACTGATAAGAATCCATAATCTGTTAACTTTAAGTAGGACAGATTATCCTAGAAGATCTGGGCAGGTCTCATTTAATCCGTGGAAAGGATTAAGAGCAGATTTGAGGCTTCCCTGAAGAAGAAACCCTGCCTGTGGCCAGCAGCTTCTCAGCTCATGCCTGAGGCCCAGCCTGTCCTTTATCCTGATGGCCTGCCCTGTGGATTTTGGCCTTGCCTAATCAGCCCAACAACTGGAGAAGCCAATACCCTGAAATGTCCTAATATGTATCTCCTATTGGTTTCTGTTTCCTGTGGACTCTCTGATATAGAGATCAGCAAAACTACTTTTCATTTATAAGTTGTCATAGCAATGACATTATCAATTCATTAATTTCTCACTTCATTTCCGTTTTTTTTAAGTTTTATTTATGTATGGGGTCAAGGTTATAGAGATATATTTAACACTGACAAAGTTTTTACACACTCATTCTTCTATGACTTCTAATAAAAATATCTACTATATTTCTAAGAATTCCCAGATCATAAAATGATTCTTTACCAATTTTATAGCACCTGCTATTGTCAAAGGTTAAAAGTTTAAGTTAAATTAGATGCTATGTTTCACACAACATAGATGCAAATGATCTGCAAAAGTTTAAACCTTTAGGACCTAAATCGAAATGACAGTCTATAAAGGCATTCTAAACACCTATATTTTAAGTTAATAAAAACTATGTATAAATGCGATCAACATTTCATAATATTAAACTTTACTTACTTAACACCGTATCTGTCTCTAAACATAATGTGGTCCCGAAATGTGCGGTTGACATCCAGGTCTATTTGTCTGATGTCAGGTGAACAGCCCCGTGCTCTGTGTTTTAATTTCTGAAGAGAAAAAGAAGAAAGGGAACAGATTTTTATGGAAATCATTTGTTGAAATATCGATGACAAATAATAAAATAATTCTCATTAAAAAGTTTTTGGTTTAAAAAAAGTATTCAATGGTTGAAAAATCAAAACATTACATATATAAAGATACACAAAAAGCACTTTCCTTCTCCTCCATTCTCCTATTTCTCCTACTCCCTGCCTCTCCCTCTTCCCCTACCTTCCTTCCCTCTCATCCTGTCTAGGTAGATTTTAATTTAGGATACAGAACTTTCCAGAGTTTGCATTACTAAACTATGTGAAAGCGTTTCATGGCTGAGCCATGCAGTCTACTATGATTTCTTGTTTCTTTTCAGGATGATGCTTTTGCTTTTCTTGAAGCTAATCATTGCCTTGTTTCTTGGTTTGCTTCGATTCCTACATACTTGTAGTGAATTCAATCCCAAGCTCAGTATAAATTGTATCATCTCCTCAGGTGATGTTCCAATAGAATAGTGTTCCACCAGCTTCATCTTGGAGACCTCTCACCCAGAGCTGTCTGCCCTGCTCCTGCCTGTGTGGCCTGACTTCTGGGTCTACCGCACAGCTCAGGTCTTGGAGTCACCCCTTGTCCACCTGCTGGGGTTCCCTTTGGTTTTCTCCCATGCTGGACCCCCTGGTTCCTGGTCTCATATCTTTTCTCTTGGGTTCTTCCCTTGCTCTGCAGGAACACATTCTCTAGTAGCTCCTCTGAAAGGCTGTATGGAATATAAGGTTTTTGAAAATTTGAATATCTGATAATTCTACCCTCTTATTTAACTGTTTGGCTGTTTTAGAATTCTAAGTTGGGCAATATTATGCTCAAAAGGCATAGCACTGTCTTCTGGCTTCCAGTGTTGCTATTCTAATTTGTTTCTCTATGTGCAATCTGCTTTTTCTCTCTAGAAGCTTGTAGGAGTTTCTCTCTCCATGTTTTGAAACTTCACATTTCAGTACTGGGTTTGGATCTATTTTTATCCACAGGGTTGGGCACTTAGAGAATCCTTTCAATCTACAAACTCCTACCCACATCTTTGAGCTCTAAGACATCTTCAACAATTCATCTGTCAATTTCTTCATCTTCCGCTCCCTCCATTCCCATTTTCTTTTTCTGAAACTCTTTTTATTACAGTCTGGGATCTCCTAGGCTGTCATTTAATTTTCTTTTTTTCTTTTTTGTATTATTTTCCAACTCTTTTGCTTTTATAATTGACATTCTGGGAATTTCCTCAATTGTTATTTTTCAATTAAGTTTTTCATTTCTAGTACTTTTTATATTCATAAGTTCTGTTGTTTTTGAATGTTCCTCTTTATAGCATTCTATACTTGTTTGATGGATGCAATGTCTATTTTTATTTCTCTGAAGATATTAAAAAGTCTTTTGGATTCGCTTCTTTATGCTATAATCTGTTTCTTACAAGTTGCTTTCTTCCATTTGCTTCTAAGGCTTGTCTTTCATGTTAGCTCCCTTCTTCAAATCAATAGTGATACTTCGTTTTCTGCTTTTATTTGCAAGTGGGACACTAAAAAGCTGCACGCCCAGGTGAGGCTTCCTGACTGTGATCCTGCTTGTGGAGGGATCTGACCAGGCAGTTGGACTGGGGTTCCCTGAAGTCAGTACCTTTGGGTTTATTTTCTTATGCTGATCACATCCCCCAGAGAAGGCTCTTCCACTCTCCTGTTGGGAAGAGAAGCACCGGGCTGCCAGTGATCTGGGAGGTGAGTTGAGGAAAAAGGCTGGACCATCCAAAATTTAACATATTCAACTCCTCTGCTTTCATGACAGCAGCTCACCCTCAGCAAGGTCTGTGTTTTCTCTAGTGTAGACGCCCTCTGTTGCATCTTCACCAAATAACAAACATCCAGTCTTGGGCCAGCACCGAGGGGCCTAAGGAGCTCTAACTGCTTCTGAAACAAACTTTCAACCACTTCTGTGTTTAGCTTCACCTCTGCTTCCAGAGGTACCTGCAGTTAGCAATTATCAAGCCTTATGGGATTCTGAGCTATTATTAATCAGGTTGCTTCTCCAATTCCCAACACCAGCCTAGGATTTAGCTTTCTCTAGTTTGCTAAGTTTACTCAATGTCTGTCTGCATTCTGGTTTTCCAAAACTGGTAACTGTTACCATATTTCCCATTTTCTCACTTCTTTGGGGTTTGCCTTTTATAATAAAAACTCTGCTGTCAATTTAGTGGCATTTCAAGGGAAAGGGATTTGAATGAGGTTTAATCTCTCATGATTAAACAGATGGGAGATTAAAATTTAACCATGTTTAATATAAATAAGAATTTATATACATATGTTATATTGACCCATTTACTATGTACTGGTAATGTAAACTTCTGCTTGTATCAATTCCAATAAATATATATAAAAACATAATTGTTCCTGACTTCAGCTAAAAGTGAAAAGAAGGCTATCTGGGCATGTCTAGAATAAGTATGTGTATGTTAAGTGTTTTAAGAGTCTGCGTATTTTTGTGTATTGAAGCTCAGAGAAGGGTGCTTCTGTAGCTTTTTAAAACAGGAAGAGCAGCCATAATATGTTTCGGACTTCTCAAGACAGAGGAAGACATGTATAGTATTATATTAGAATCATATGACCACTAAAATATTATCATATATTATTTCTGAAAAAGGTGGTTCAGAAGATAGTACAAAAACAGCTTGAAAAATAAATCTGTACATATTTGTTCTCTTCCATCTTTTTTTTTTTTTTTAAGATAATGGGCAAGTAAAGAGGTTTCAGTTAATGTCAAAACACAAGAAGAAAATATTTGACAAGACATGATAAAAAAAAAAATGCCTTAAAATAAAAGTTAACAGGAAGGCAGAAAAGACCCAAACGCATCTATAATATCAGTTCCTCCAGAGGACAAGAAAATCCATCATAAAAAAGGCCTCATGACAGAAGAACAGCCTGGGTAAATATGTAAAAAATAATAGGTCAGAAATATTATTTATGTCTTAAAATGTTTACAAAGTAATGCAGGAATCAAACACATTTTCTGCTCCTGAATGAAAGGAAGTAAACAGTTTTTACAGTTACCTCTGAGATTAGGTGGGCTGAGATCCCACGAGTGTCAAAGTAATATAAAAATAAACATTTTATTTTAAAAGATGGGATCAAATGAGCCCATAAACCTGAGGGCAGAAGTACAGTGGGAAGCATTTAGATAAACAATAAGCACTGTCATTGTGAGTTTGGCCTACAAGATTACTGGGCCACACTAAGGCTATGGATGAGGCTGTTTTCCACTATGGTCGATCCCACCATCTGTAAGGTACACTGCTAGATGCAAGAGAGAAAAATAAAAATGAGATGAAGTTAAAAGAAGAGAGGAAAACATATTAGATAAGAAGAGCCAAGACAGCCTGGATTGTAAATCCTGCCCCTGCCACTTGCTAACCCTGGGGTGGAAAGTTACTTAGCCTCACTAAGCTCAGTTTCCTCATCTGTAAGATAAATACAGTAACGATGACAAAACCTGCATCTTGGCATTGCTGCAGGAATTAAATGGGGTAATTCCCATGGAGCACTTAGACATCAAAGTACTCAAATAATGTCAGCTCTCCTCATGGTAAAGTAGGTGCTTTGTTTATAAAATACAGCAATATGAAGCTTCAAGTTAAAACTAATCAGATCCAAATTGGAGGGAGGAGATCAGGAAGGTCTTTGCAATGTTCTTTGAAATTCCTCAATCTTTTTCCTTCCTGTGGGAAACAAAGCCCCACCAAGACACCTCCTAAGCCATGACATCTTCCTGGACCATAAAGGTGATTTTTTTTCTTACCCTCTTTTCAACTCAGCCAAGTTTTTCATTCTCCTGCTTTTAGAGTATTTATCACACACCACTATTAAATATTTCTATGCAATCACGTCTCCTCCAGCCTAGAAGAAAACATTCTTGACACTGTACCTATTCATCTTCATACATTCTTCAACACCACCCACAGAGCTTCAGGGGGACAAGAAAAGATAAACAGGCCACCATGGGAACTTGAAGGACTGAATGCTCATAATATGCTGGGTCCAAATAATTTCACCCATCTGAGAAAAGTCTCCGCAGATTAAGAGAAGGTCATAGTTTTATTGGATAAAACTACGATAAATAAAACTACAAACATCTAGTTCGTAGTGGATATGTGGAGAGCAATGTATACCACTTTGTAGAGAGAGAAAGAGTGCATGAGAAAAGAAAAAAAAGTTGACTAAATATTGATAATGGGGGAAACTCAAATAGTAAAAATAATATTGATGACAGTGTTGAAAATTACAGGTTTGAAGGCACTGGCTGGTAAGTTATTTCTTTTGTTGTAGTTGCTGTCAGTTAATAGTTCTCTTATATTAATTGGCCATCTGATAATTTTATTCTATATAGAAAAAGTCTAAAATATAACTGAAAACTAGACTCCTATTAGCAGGCAAGCTGGGTTGAACAGCGTCTCTCCAAAATTCATGCCCACCAAGAACCTATGAATGTGACCTCAGCTGGAAATAGGGCCTCTGACGGGGTAATCAAGTTAAGATGAGGTCACACTGGATGTGGGTGGACCCTACATGCAATAACTATTAACCCCATCAGGAAAGACAGAGACACACAGACACAGGAGGGAAGGTGGCCAGGTGATAAGAAAGGCAGGGATGGGGCCATGCAGCTGAGCCTCATTAAGGATGGCAGGCCGCCACTGGAGGCGGAAAGAGGCCAGGAGGAATGCCTTCCTAGAGCGCTGAGAGAAAAGGTTGTCATACTGACACCATAATTTCAGCCTTCTGTCCTTAACCACTGTGAAAGAGAGATTTCTGTTGTTTTAAGCCACTTAGTGGTGCTTGGTTATAGTAGCATGAGGAAATGAATACAGCATGTAAATAAAGTGCTTTTTACTTTCATTTTCTACTTTCATTATTCAAACAAATACTAACAGAGCACCTACCATATGCTAGGCACAGTGTACTAGGTGCTGGGATTATATTTTATATTATGTTCTCTCAGGCATCATTTTGAACACTGACTGTAAAACTATGACACTAAGAGCAAATAGCTAATCACCACTCTAAAATAATTTAGAATTCTAAAATCCTAAAATAGATATTCTGTGTAGGATCCAAACAGCTAAATTTAAAATGAATAACTCTTTAAATTATCCAGTAGGTATCACTTTTCATCTGGATGAAATTTTACCCGAAGGTGCACTTGCGCACACGCAGACACACACACACACACACACACACACACACACACACACACACACACAAATCAAAAGAGCACCAAAGCATCTTTTAGAACAGACTTTAGGTTTAAACCATAAATAATTTTTATTTCTACATACAGGATCATGTCATCCACAAACAAAGGTAATTTAACTTCCTCTCTTCCTATCCAAATACCCTTTATTTCCTTCTCTTATCTGATTGCCCTGGCCAGAACTTTCAGAGGGCATCCTTGTCTTGTGCCAGTTTTCAAGAGAAATGCTTCCAGCTTTTGCCCATTCAGTATGATGTTGGCTGTGGGTCTGTCATATACAGCTCTTACTAATTTGAGATATGTTCCTTCAATAATGAGTGTATTGAAAGTTTTTAACATGAAGGGATGTTGAATTTTATCAAAGGCCTTTTCTGCATCTATTGAGATAATCTAAAAAATAGTTTCAGTGGAAATGGTACTGGCTCTTCTTTATACCTCTGGTAGAATTCAGCTATGTTTCCATCTGGTCCTGGGCTTTTATTGGTTGGTAGGCTAGTTATTATTATCTTAATTTCAGAACTCATTATTTTCCTATTCAGAGATTCAATTTCTTCCTGGTTCAGTCTTGGGAGGATGTGTGTGTCCAAGAATATATCCATTTCTTCTAGATCTTCTAGTTTATGTGCGGAGAGGTGTTTATAATATTCTCTGATGGTTGTTTGTATTTCTGTGGGGTCAGTGGTGGTATCTTCCTTATCATTTCTGATGGTGTTTATTTGATTCTTCTCTCTCTCCTTATTAGTCTAGCTAGTGTTCTATCTATTTTATTAAATGTTTTCAAAATACCAGCTCCTGATTCATTGATTTTTATGAAGAGTTTGTCTCTATCTCATTCAGTTCAGCCTTGATCTTGGTTATTTCTTGTCTTCTGCTAGCTTAGGGGCTTGTTTGCTCTTGGTTCTCTAGTTCTTTTAGCTGAGATGTTAGGTTGTCAAGTTGAGATCCCCCAAAGCTTCTTAAGCTGATAAGCAACTTCAACAAAGTCTCAGGATATAAAATCAATGTGCAAAAATCACTAGCATTCCTATACACCAACAAGAGGCAAGCAGAGAGCCAAATCATGAATGAATTCCCATTCAAAATTGTCACAAAAATAATAGAATACCTAGGAATACAGCTAACAAGCAACTTAATGGCCTATTCAAGAACTGCAAACCACTGCTCAAAGAAATCAGAGAGGACACAAACAAATGGAGAAACATTTCATGCTTACGGATAAAAAGAATTAGTATTGTGAAAAATGGCCATATCACCTAAAGTAACTTATAGATTCAAAGCTATTCCCATTAAATAACCATTGACATTCTTAACTGAGTTAAAAAAAAATTTTTTTTCAATTCATATGGAACAACAGCAACAAAAAAGCCCAAAAAGCCAAGACAATGCTAAGGAAAAAGAACAAAGCTAGAGGCACCACACTACCTGACTTCAAACTATGCTACAAGACTATAGTAACCAAAATAGCATGGTACTGATATAAGAATAGACACACAGACCAATGGAGCAGAACAGAGAACTCAAAAATAAGACCACACACTTACAACCATCTGATCTTTGACAAACTTGACAAAAACAAGCAATGGGGAAAGGACTCCTATTTAACAATGGTGCTGGGATAACTGGCTAGCCATATGCAGAAAACTGAAACTGGACCCCTTCCTCATACCATATATAAAAGTTAACTCAGCCAGGCGTGGTGACTCAAGCCTAAAATCCTAGCACTTTGGGAGGCTGAGGCAAGCAAATCACAAGGTCAAGAGATGGAGACCATCCCAGCCAACATGGTGAAATCCATTGCTACTAAAAATACGAAAATTAGTTGAGCATGGTGGCTCCCACCTATAATCCCAGCTACTCGGGAGGCTGAGGCAGGAGAATTGCCTGAACTCAGCAGGCAGAGGATGCAGTGAACTGAGATCATACCACTGCACTCCAGCCTGGTGACAGAGCGAGATTCTGCTCCTCTCCCAAAAAAAATTAACTCAAGATGGATTAAAGACTTAAATGTGAAACCCCAAACCATAAAAACCCTAGAAGAAAATCTAGGCAATACCATTCAGGACATAGGCACAAAGTTTTCATAAAGAAAACACCAAAAGCAATTGCAACAAAAGCAAAAATTGTCAAATGGGATCTAATTAAACTAAAGCACTTCTGCACAGCAAAAGAAAATATCATGAGAGTGGACAGACAACCTACAGAATAGGAGACAATTTTTGCAATCTATCCATCTGATGAAAGTCTAATATCCAAAGTCTACAAGGAACTTAAACAAATTTACAAGAAAAAAATTCCCATTAAAAAGTGGGCAAAGGACATGAACAGACACTTCTCAAAAGAAGACATACATGAGGCCAATAAACATGAAAAAAAGCTCAACATCACTGATACTGGAGAAATGTAAATCCAAACCATAAGATATGACCTTTTAATAGTGATTACTCAAAAGTTAAAAAACAACAGATACTGATGAGGTTGCAGAAAAAAAAAGGAACGCTTTTACACTCCTGGTGGGAGTGTAAATTCGTTCAACCATTGTCAAAGACAGTGTGACGATTCTTCAAAGACCTAGAGGCAGAAATACCATTTGACTCAGCAATCCCATTACTGGATATATACCCAAAGGAACAGAAATCATTCTATTACAAAGATACATGCACACATATGTTCACTGCAGCACCATACACAATAGCAAAGACATGGAATCAACCTAAATGCCCATCAATGACAAACTGGATCAAGAAAATGTGGTACAAAGACATCGTGGAATACTATACAGCCATAAAAAAGGAGCAAGATCATGTCCTTTGCAGAGACTTTGATGGAGTTGCATGCCATTATCCTCAGTGAACTAACACAGGAACAGAAAATCAAATCCCACATGTTCTCACTGATGAGTGTGAGCTGAATGATGAGACTACATGGACACATGAGGAGGAACAAAACACAGCAGAGCCTGTAAGCGAGGGGTGGTGGTAGGAGGGAGAGCATCAGGAAGAATAGCTAATGGATACTAAGGCTTAAAACCTAGGTGATGGGATTATCTATACAGCAAGCCACCATGGCACACATTTACCTATGTAACAAATCTGTACATCCTGCACATGTGTATCCCTGAACTTAAAGGTTGAAGAAAGAAAAAGTATTGACCCCCCCCAAAAAAAACAGCAATTTTTATTTCTTCCCATTTATTCCACAATAATTTATTTGTACACATTTTCTAGGAAACATATTTCAAAATCTATGGGTCTAAGGTTCTTAGATGTAAATATCTTACTCCTTTCAAAGATTAATAGAAAATTTAGGTTCAGAAAGGGTATAGCTATGAGATGACAAGGAGATACATTTAATGCATTACCTAACTTAAGAAAAAAAGGTATCACTCAGTCAAAAGCTTAATTTTTATTAATAAATAATAAAACCTAGAGATACCTTAAAAATCTTGGGGCAAAGTCATTTTTTTTTCACGCTAGAAGAAAAGAATCATACACAGTAGGTATGGTTAAACTGAATTCTGCTGCTGTTTCCCACAAACTCTCAAAGTGATGCCGCAAATCTCTTCATTAACACCATGTGGCAAACCAGCAGCTATAATCAGGCATGAGTCCATTTTCCCTGCAACCATGTACCAACATTGATCATTTAAGTACTTTAATTGATCATTTATGTATTTGAAAAGCAATTGTTACTTACTGATTGATACAGAAAGTAACATTTTTACTAAGTATCTGTTTAAAATTTAAGAAGTATTTTGCAATCAACAAAACAATAGACGTCCAAAATCTCCAATGCAATATAATTTTAATAATTTTAATAAAATTTTAAGTAATCATATGAATATCTTATGCCACCCTGAATGCTAAAAGAAATGGATTTTACTTTTTAATTTCAAAATAACAGGTTAGCTTTAGCTACTCACACTGTACAGGTCTCTTGTTTCTTCTTTCATTTTAGGGATCTCAAGAAGGAGGGCCCAGACTTCACCTCTGAGCTGGAGTGGGATTCCTTTGTAAATTCGCCTATGAAACTTATTAAAAGAAAAAGAAACTAAAGGTTACAAACTGACGAAAACTTGGACTAGTCTCTACAGTCAATCTTGTTAATATTTGTTAGCATTGTATTTTCAAAGTATCCATGGCAATTAATAAATACATTTAAACATGGCACACTGAAATACTGTCACCTCATTTTTAGAGATTCTAACAGGGAGACACAAAGAAGAGAATAAAACAAGAAACTGTTAAAAATGCCCAATGCATTAGTATGTTCAGGCCATTACAGAAGAGTCCCTTAAGTGGCATGAAAGCAGTCAGTGCTCTTTTTAAAAGTGTGAACATCTGATTTACACATTCCCTGATGATATAATTAACTTGTTACACGCTTTCTTCCTTTTATTCCACACACCTAAAAGATGCTCCAAACAGCAAAAAGGTTGCCTTGCCCCCAAAATGTCTTCATGGAATGTAGAGTGCTGTCTAACTCCTAATCTCTTTCCTAACACCTTCTCATCGGTCTCTCCGGAAGATAATAAGCTTCTCCACATCTGATACGTCAGTTAATCCTATCGGCAATTTTCAGTGTTCTCTCTCTCAGACACACTCACTTCCCTTCCCTTGCCCTTTCTCATTCTTTTCTCTCCTCTTTTCAGTCCTTGCTACTTCTTCAGGAAAACTTTTTTCTTTTTCTTAAATGACACTGACGCTATCTGTTAAGACAAAATCAGCAATAAATCTCCATAAAGGAAAGACATCACTTTTGAATGAAATTAGGTATAAAACATCAGCATTATCAAGTCCTCCATCCTTGAAAGTGCACTGCTATGGCCCTAAGAATCTTAAGATTCAACATACCTCTATCTTCTTGTAATTAATTTTCTCCTCAAGTCTCATTATTCAAAATAACATAAAACCTATTATGGTCATCACAATGTTGTGCATAGTAACACTCTGAAACTTAAAAATAGATGTCCAAACAAGGAAATAATTAAATAAATTACAGCGGAAGCCCCTCAGGTAGTAATTTCTCTTATTAACATAATAATATATTTGAATGTTATGGTTCAGAAAATAAGATGCCAGTTCTAATAACTGAACTACTGAAGAGCTATGACAACTAGTACACAAGGCTTTAACTTCTACTATTACACTACTTAGATTTTTTTTTTTTTTGAGACAGTCTCTCGCTCTGTTGCCAGGCATGAGTGCAGTGGTGCAATCTTGGCTCACTGCAACCTCCACCTTCCAGGTTCAAGCAATTCTCCTGCCTCAGTCTCCCAAGTAGCTAGGATTACAGGCACACACTACCACGCTCAGCTGATTTCTGTATTTTTAGTAGAGACAGGGTTTAACCGCGTTGGCCAGGCTTGTCTTGAACTCCTGACCTCATGATCCACCCACCTCGGCCTCCCAAAGTGCTGGGATTACAGGCATGAGCCACTGTACCCAGCCACACTAGTTAGATTTTTTTTAAGCTTTAGTGACTAAGTCATAAGGCAGCCTTAAGAAACTTTGGGGCCGGGCGCGGTGGCTCAGCCTGTAATCCCAGCACTTTGGGAGGCCGAGGCGGGCGGATCACGAGGTCAAGAGATCAAGACCATCCTGGCCAACATGGTGAAACCCCCTCTCTACTAAATACACAAAAAAATTAGCTGGGCGTGGTGGTGCGTGCCTGTGGTCCCAGCTACTCGGGAGGCTGAGACAGGAGAACTGCTTGAACGGGGAGTTGGGGGCGGGGCGGGGAGGGGGGGCGGTGGCGGAGGTTGCAGTGAGCCGAGGTCGCGCCAGTGCACTCCAGCCTGGCGCCTGGTGACAGAGTCTCTGTCTCCCAAAAAAAAAAAAAGAAGAAAGAAAGAAAGGAAAGAAAGAAAGAAGGAAAGAAAGAAAGAAACTTTGGGGGGTTCGATCCAAGATGGCCATTAAGGAACAGCTCGGAGTTGCAACTCCCAGTGAAAGCGCAGAGGGTGAGGGGACGCCGCATTTTTATAGCCCACGGACCAGGAGACTCCCAGGCGGAGGAGACCCATGGGTCACCAGCAAGGCAGTTTTGGCCAGCGTGGTTCTTTCGGTCGGTGGGGCCGTTTTGCCCCGCGCGCCGCTGCTTTGTCGGTGGCTGGGCCGGCAGTTCTCCGTACAAAATACACTGGTCCGGGTGCCCCTTTGGCTGGCAACTGGAGCCCCAGGAAGCCGCACATTCATCTGATTAAAGAGGGGACTGAACAGGGAGCCAGGCCAGGAGATTTCTGAGCAAAAAAAGCCACGAATCTCAGCGCTGCTGTTTAAGCTGCCACACTAGGTGGCCGCATGGGAAACAGATCCCAGCGTCCTTTCAACAGATGACTGGAACACCTGGGATAAAAAAGGGGGGGGAAAAAAAAAAAAAAAAGGCTCTGAGGCAGGGAGCCAGGTGATCAGGCTAGGCTGGTCCCAGTCCCACCCCCACAAAAGAACAGCAATCAGAAACTCTCTGGATTGAGAGTTTCACGGCAAGCACAGCTGAACCCAGGATGGTCCAGCTCTGTGGGGGACGGGCGTCCGCCATTACCGAGGTACTCCACCAATAAGGAGGTAGTCCGCCATTGCTGGGGCAGCCTGCTGTTGCCAAGGCGACCCACGGTTGCCGAGGCAACCTGGCATTACAGAGAGAGTCCGCCAATACAGAGGCAGGCCACCATTGCCCAGGCAGTGCTAACTACGCCCATATAAACAAGACTGCAGGGACATTCACAGGGCAGCTGGGCAGAGCCCACAGCAGCTCAGCAAAGCCTCTTCAGGCAGACAGTGACTAGGCTGCCTCCTTGCTGTGAAGGGCAGCCCTGGGAAACAAAAAAAAAAGAGGCAGCATCACAATGGAAACTCATAAATAAAGCCCTAACTCCCTGGGACAGAGCAGCTGGGAACCAAAAGCGGTTTATGAGTTCTGCCGCAGCAGACCTAAACGTACCTGCCCAGCAGCTCTGAATGAACAACAGAGCTCACAGCTCAGCACTTCACCTCCTATAAAAGACAGACTGTCTCCTCAAGCAGCTCCCTGGCCCCTGTATATCCAGAGTAACCTCATAAAGGAGAGATCAGACTGACATTTGGCAGGTATCCTTCTGGGACAAAGACAGCAGAAGAAGAAACTGGTAGCAACCCAACCCTTACTGTTCTGCAGCCACTGCAGGCGATCCCCAGGCAAGCAGGGCCTGGAGTGAACCTTAGCAGTCCTACAGCAGAGGGGCCAGACTGTTGGAAGGAAAACTAAGAAACAGAAATAACTTCATCATCAACAAACTAGACGTCCACTCAGAGACCCAATCTGAAAGTCAGCAACTACAAAGACGACAGGTAGCTAAATCCATAAAGATGGGAAGAAACCAGAGCAAAAAGGATGAAAACACCTGAAACCAGAACACCTCTCCTACTACAAGGGATCACACCTCCTCACCAGCAAGGGAACAAGGTTGGATGGAGAATGAGTGTGATGAAATGACAGAATCAGACTTCAGAAGGTGGGTACTAAGAAACTTCTGTGAACTAAAAGAACATGTTCTAACCCAATGCAAAGAAACTAAGAACCTTGAAAAAAGATTTGACGAAATGCTAATGAGAATGGACAACTTAGAAAGGAGTATGAGTGAATTGATGGAGCTGAAAAACACAACACGAGAACTTTGCGAAGCATGCACACATTTCAACAGCTGAATTGACCAAGCAGAAGAAAGGATATCAGAGGTCGAAGATCAACTCAATGAAATAAAATGAGAAGGCATGATTAGAGAAAAAAGGGTAAAAAGGAATGAACAAAGTCTCCACGAAATGTGGGACTATGTGAAAAGACCTAATCTACGTTTGATAGGTGTACCTGAATGTGACAAAGAGAATGAACGCAAGCTGGAAACTACTCTTCAGGATATTATCCAGGAAAACTTCCCCAACCTAGCAAGGCAGGCCAATATTCAAGTCCAGGAAATACAAAGAACACCACAAAGATATTCTTCAAGAAGAGCAACTCCAAGGCACATAATCGTCAGATTCACCAGGGTTGAAATGAAGGAGAAAATGCTAAGGGCAGTCAGAGAGAAAGGTCAGGTTACCCACAAAGGGAAGCCCATCAGACTCACAGCAGATCTCTCAGCAGAAACCCTACAAGCCAGAAGAATGTGGGGGCCAATATTCAACTTCCTTAAAGAAAATAACTTTCACCTCATAATCACATATCCAGCCAAACTAAGCTTCATAAGTGAAGGAAAAATAAAATCCTTTGGGAACAAGCAAGTACTCAGAGATTTCGTCACCACCAGGCCTGCTTTACAAGAGCTCCTGAAAGAGGCTCTATACATAGAAAGGAACAACCATTACCAGCCACTCCAAAAACATGCCAAATAGCAAAAAGCATCAACACAATGAAGAACCTGCATCAACTAATGGGCAAAAAAAATGGCAGTATCAACTTCACACATAACAATATTAACCCTAAATGTAAATGGACTAAATGCCCCAATCAAAAGACACAGACTGGCAAATTGGATAAAAAGCCAAAACCCATCGGTGTGCTGTATCCAGGAAACCCATCTCACATGCAAGAATACTCAAAGGCTCAAAATAAAGGGATGGAGGAAGATTTACCAAGCAAAGGGAGAGCAAAAAAAAGCAGGAGTTGCAATTCTCATCTCTGATAAAATAGACTTTAAAGCAACAAAGATCAAAAGAGACAAAGAAGGACATTACGTAATGGCAAAAGGATCAATGCAATAAGAAGAGGTAACAATCCTAAATATATACGCACCCAATACAGGAGCACCCAGATACATAAGGCAAGTTCTTAAGGACTTACAAAGAGACTTAGACTCCCACACAATTATAGTGGGTGACTTAAACACCCCATTGTCAATATTAGACAGATCAACCAGACAGAAAATTAACAAGGATATCCAGGACTTGAACTCAGACCTGGACCAAGCTAACCTAATAGACATTTACAGAACTCTCCACCCCAAATCCACAGAATATACATTCTTCTCAGCACCACATCACACCTACTCCAAAATTGACTACATAATCCGGAGTAAATCACTCCTCAGCAAATGCAAAAGAACGGAAATCAGAACAAACAGTCTCTCAGACCACAGTGCAATCAAGTTAGAACTCAGAATTCAAAAACTAACTCAGAACCGCACAGCTTCATGGAAACTGAACAACTTGCTCTTGAATGTTGGCTGGATAAACAATGAAATGAAGGCAGAAACAAAGATGTTCTTTGAAACCAACGAGAATGAAGACACAACATACCAGAATCTCTGGGACACACTTAACACAGTCTCTAGAGGAAAATATATAGCAATAAGTGCCCACATGAGAAGCAAGGACAGATCAAAAATTGACACCCTAGTGTTAAAATTGAAAGAGCTAGAGGAGCAAGATTAAAAAAACTCAAAGCCTAGCAGAAGACAAGAAATAGCTAAGATCAGAGCAGAACTGAAGGAGATAGAGACACAAAAAAACCCTTAAAAAAAAAATCAATAAATCCAGGAGCTGGTTTTTTGAAAAGATCAACAAAATAGACAGACCACTAGCCAGATTAATAAAAAAGAAAAGAGAGAATAACCAAACTGATGCAATAAAAAACGATCAAGGGGATATCACCACAGATTCCACAGAAATTCAAACCATCATCAGAGATTATTACAAACAACTCTATGCACATAAGCTAGTGAACCTGGAAGAAATGGATAAATTCCTGGACACTTGCCTGCCCCCAAGCCTAAACCAGGAAGAAGCCGAAACCCTGAACAAACCCATAACAAGGTCTGAAGTTGCGGCAGCAATTAAGAGCCTACCACCCAACAAAGGCCCAGGTCCAGACGGGTTCACAGCTGAATTCTACCAGACAAACA